AAAACAAAATTATCGAGCTCTGAATAGGATCACAAGCAAAGAACTTTGGGGATTACTGCTTTAATTCACAAAATAAAAGCTCATTTCAGAGAAAAATACAGTCGATCAGTCTTCATGTCCTAGACAGAATCAGGATGTAGTGAATTAGGGCTTTAATACAACAAAAACTCTTCCATGCAATTAGCTGTACTGACACATGGTTGTTCTACATGTAGGCTCTCAGCTTAACTGTTTGAAAAAGCACAAAGTAACACAAAATTTACACAATGTAGTCTAGCCACAATAAAATAATGGGTTCACAATTCTGTGTCTGTCACCATATAACTTATGTAAGCAGTCTAAGATTTCAGAGCATGAAAGGGACAAATTTAGGTCCCAACACCACAAAGTTTGGCTGCAGTCCTGTAATCTTATCTGTGGAGGCATGATCCTTCCTCTGCACAACACTTCACTGGTTCAATGGGCCTCTGCACAGGTGTGTGTGGATCCTCCCACACAGATCAGATTGCTGGATTTGAATCCTTCATTATAAATGGATCAGGAGACACATGTTGCAACCAGGTCACCTGCCTGTACTATGAGTGTACTGTAGATTCATCTAGAATGTATTTAATCAATCAACCACCAAGCAAATATTTTAGCAACTGCTATTTTTGTGCATCCATTATTACTTCAACAATCTTTCATTTTAACTTTTTCAGAAGGCTATTAAAATATTCTTTCAAAACTGAATCCAGTAGTTCTTTCAACCATTCTGTTAAATTATTTCTTTAGGTTACACAGTAATAATTGCAGTGTTATATATCCAGGTAGATAACCCTCAAAGTTTCCATAAAATTTATATGCTTGACATTCAAGTTCTGCAGTTTTACAGTAAGAAGTAATTTATTGTTTATGATGCAGCTAAAGAAAACAGCTTCCTCCTATGTTGTTCTATTTCAACACAAGACTTTATTCTTGCCAAACATTACTTTGTTTTTTGGTTTGTTAATTTATGGCCAGATGCTCACTTAACAGACATCCTTCTTCTATACTTTTGTATAGCATACTCAGACTGTCTCTGATATAGGTATATACTATATGAAAGGTATATGAAGCTTAAATCTTTACTTCAGTTGACACTTCTGCATCCATTTCACTTGATTTTTAATTTTCTCTAAATAAACCAATTCATGGCTATGGGGAATGGTACTGGCAAAATCTTTACAGGGTAGGAACGCTTCAATGCCTTGTCCTAAAGCATATGGGAAAAAAAATGTTGTGTTTATTTCTGCACAATTGCAACATTTCTATTCAGTAGTTCTACAACAAGCCATTGTTTTATATCTTATGCAGAAGGAAGCAGACTAAGGCTCTTCAAGAATCCCTCTGTGTGCCTGTTTTGTCCTGCAGGCTTCTAAATATAATCTTTTGCACTAAAGAGAAGGAGACAGCTACTGATAGCCAGTGATCTGCAGAAAAGAGAAAAAATTAGATTAAATGAGGCCATTGCTAGTTCACAGTTGATCAAGATTCACCTTCCAAAGAATTTTGGTGTATTTAAATATGGTTTAAATAAGGCCTGCAAAATAAAGACCCTGAAGAAGATCATACAACTTTGAGATAAAGTCTGTGAAGCTGAAAAACCTATTAATTTTTATTCAGAAATAAAGTAATGAGAGTGAGTACAATTTAGGAGAAGAAAATGTGATAAGGGAATAAGGAAAGGAGAAAGGTGACAAAAGAAGGAAGTAAGTTTATAATTTTGCTGGAAGAAGTAAACATGAAGGACAAGTTAGGAGGTTTTTGGTGTTTTTTTTGGTTTTGGGTTTTTTGTTTGTTTTTTTTGGTTGTTGTTGTTGTTTTTTTTTCTTAAAAAAAAAACAATAGATGAGAGAGACATACATTGCATCTAACCGAAAACAAGTGAAAAAAAAAAGCAGCTAGAAAGGTCAAGCTAAGCTTGCATAGTTTTAAACTTTCTTCCTGGATAGTCAGTGCTCCCCAGGTAACAGCAATAACCAAACAACAAACGCAGTAGCTTCTTTTATCTAGAAGCTTTGGTATCCTTTGGGAAACTGCTCATCAGAATCAGCTGGGGATGGTTTGCAAGTGTGTCAGGTTTAGTTTGGTTCAGATAAACAGTGATGAAACAAAGTTGCCCAAATATTAAAAAATCTAGAGAAAATGTATAGCTAAATATACCAGCTAGCAAGCTAATGGCTTCTGTGTATATCAGAAATAAGAATGTAAACCAGTGTCTTCTGAAAGAGGCAGAGAAATAAAAGCTGGCTAACACAGACTTAAATTAACAAGGGTATGTAGTGATCAGAAAAGAAAACATACAGTAAAATTTATGTGGTGAAATAGGAGATAAATCTTAAAAAAGCAATTTCTATGAGTATAACAAAAGTCTGGGTAAACTGGCACCATAATGGTCATCACTGGAATTCACTGCAGCCTGGAATCTCTCACTTGTGTATTAATCTTGACTATTGCTGCTTTGTTTTAGTAATGAAAAAGGTCACCTCTATTTACTGAGTAGCAAGCTGAATCCAACACATGGTAATAGCTAAGCTGGCAACAGTATGAAAGACTACATTTTATCTCTAGATGATCTACAGATGTTATGGCATTACATTTTCTGTTCATCCTAAAGGTACAACTATTTGTTAATTGCAGGAAATATTCATAATCACTTGCATTCCTCTATAGTATAGTCTAGAAATATAGTCTAGAAATATGCCTTATGCCTCAACAGATATAGGTATAGCATTTTTTACAGTTGGCTGTAGCTTTAGGAAGTGCAACCAGCTGATTCTTCTTAGGCCAATGCCACAGCAGCTGAAAGGCAGGGGGTGGCATTCAAAACTTCATTAACTTCATACAGACTGTCTGCATTCCATCTCTTGATAGTGTATGCTAAAGCACTCTTGCTGATTAGGGTATTTGTATACTGTTTGTTTACTGCTATTCATTACTTGGACTGTAAAATATTATGTGTTTCATGGTATCATCTTCTGGAGTTCTTCAGTCTCTGCATGTTATCTCTGCTACTTTTCATGAAGTCATGAGAAACTTAGACTTGTCTAGGAAAGCGGGGTGAAATATTATTATAGCAAATATGGATACATTTATATATAAATCCTAAACTGACTTTTCTGAAAAAAAGCAATAGAGGTAAGAAGACAGGAGATGAGAGTATCTCTGAGCCAGGAAGGTCTCAAGGACAGCAACAGGAATGGATTCCTGTCCTGAGAATGAGTCAGTGCAGATATGGAGAGACCTAACTAAGTGACATCTAGAAAACTCACTTGAAAGGCCAAAGATTCTCTTTGTAAAACAAAGGTTGCTGTTGCCAGTACTGGAATGTGCAGATAGTAAATTGTAATCCATACCAGAACAAGCTCTGGTTTCAAGGCTTGCATTGCAATGCTTTACACTGTAAATAGGCTGCTATTGTAAATTTATTTTTTTGCCTGTCTTGCTCTTCATTGCTGATAGATGGCAGCAAATGATGGATGATTTTCAGTCTACATTGCATTCTGTTCCTCTTTCTGTAGAATCCTCCTTTTTAAGACAAAATGGTGCTGATTCCACACTAGCAAAATGTATGACCCTTGTAATAGGCAAGAGTTTAATTTGTTACGTAGTTGAAGCAAATTATGAAACTTTGTCCATTGTATTCCTGTTCTGTGTGATACTGGATATTCTCTGATTCTATGTGAATATTTCTGAAAGGAATGGTTGCTTCTCCTGTTATCTGATGTATCTCAGAAAAGCAATTTTTTTTCTAGGTCTTGATCTTTTTTTAACTTCTCTCTAGTCTTGAGATCCAAACATGTAAACAACTCAGGTTATGCTGCATTACTGCTAGGACATGAAGTGGTGTGTGGGAGGGGGTTGCCTAATGGGGAGAGTAAATAAAATTATTATTTTGATTTTTATTGTAGAGTCACAGTTAACCTTCCTCTGTGTCTTGGTGATTAAGATGGGGCTGTGCTCATCTTCTAAGGTTGGTTAAATGTGGTCTCTAGTGTAGAATTCTGCCTAAACACACTTAAGTGTTTTGTTTTGGTGTGGTGGTTTTTGTGTGTGGGTCTTTTTGCTTGTTTGTATTTTTCTTTTAAAAAGCACACAAATATGGGGGGAGGGGCAGTTAAACTGCAAGCAGAAATAGAAAATCTTTGTGGCGTTTGGTTGGAGAGACAGCCTACTAACCAACCATTTTCTGGCCTGTATTTTTGCATATATAGCATCTGCATAAAAGAAATTCTATAAAAGCACATCTGGAAAGGCTGGCTAATGAAAACATGCACACTAATGGATATCACTGAAGGTGAACAGTTGGCGTGAGGTGAGCTTTCTGTCTGCAAGGTCTGCTGCTGTAGCTGAGGCGCCCAGCCTCTTGCTGGCTTTATCAGCCTCAGCATGATGTTGAACAGGGAAGAAAAATGACCTTTTAATACTGTGTAAATGCTTGAGTAATGTGGAGATGTGAGAGAAGTCAGTCATGCAGCCTTGCCAAGGAGGGACACCCAAGATAAATTTCGGCTAGTTTGGTTTTTTTGGTTGGCTTTTTTTTTTTTTGCATGTTTTAGCTCTCAATTACTTAACTTTCCACCTTCTCCACCTCATCAGTCAAAATTACCTCAGTTCAGCCTCGTGTGGCAAATATTTTGCTTCAATGATAAAAGGGAATACCGCCTTTATGAGGGCTCAGTCCCTCAGTACACCCCGCTGGCTGCAGCTGCCACAGACCGCTTGTATGCTGGGTGAGGCGGTGGAGGGCCTCGCCTCCCTTCAGGGCTGTCAGGCGCAGAGGGAGAGGTGCTCCGGTCGGGGGTTAGTTTGGGGTGTCATGTTCCTCCCCGTTCCCTTGGGAGCGCCTCTGCGCGAGGGCAGGCTTGACCCCGTCGCGCTCCCGTCCGGGCGCCGCTCCCTGAGGCGAAAGCGGCGGCGGCTTAGCTCGGCCGAGCGCACGACGGTGGCGGCCCTTTTAGTTCGCCGGCGCGGTCGCCATGTCTGCCCTGACCAAGGCCTCCGGCGCGCTCAAGTCGGTGGATTACGAAGTGTTTGGACGAGTGCAAGGTAAAGACGGCTCTGGGGTACGAAGGGGGAGTTTTGGTGCATGTGTGAGGGGCGCTGTACTGAGGCTCCAAAGGCGCGCGGTTGTTGCGAGCCACGCATGCGCGCTGGGCAAGTGAGGCGGGCGGGGGCTGAGGGGACGGCGTCCTGTGAGAGAGCAGCCACGCCGCCTCCTCGTCCCCAGCGGGGAAAAGAGGTTGTAAATATAGTGTAAGGCTCGTCCGGTTCCCTGGAGAGCACAGGATGTTCTGTCAAAAGCACTTCCCATTACCCGGCCTTCATCTCCGCGTCTTCTGTCAGCGCGGTTATGCGAGAGCGCCCCCACCCCCGAGTTGGTAGCGACACTTCTAAGGTGAAATTTAAGTCAAAGGCAATTCCCATACTGCAGCAGCTTCGTTAAAGAAGGCTACACTCGCTAACTGTGTTAATGAAAATAATCGCTTGTCGAAGGGAAGGCTCAAGGCCAGCTTGTACCTTAATTCTGTAGAGTTTTCCAAATGTTGGAATTTCGTAACTGCTCTGTGAAATTTCTATAAGAAAAGACCACAGATGACTGTATGCAGTTTACTGTAACTTCATATGAAGTAAAAAATTCCTAGAAGTGGTATTTTTTCAAATTATTTTAATGTCTTTTTCTTTCTTTTCTAGGTGTTTGTTTCAGGATGGTAAGGCAATGTCTGACTTACCGGTTCTACTTTACAGTATAGTATTTCCAGTGCTAAAAATATGGCAGCAGGTCTGTAGACTGTAAACATATGAAACCTGAACTTTGAGTTCTAGGTCAGACGGTCAAGTATTGCAAGTGGATTTAAAAGGAAAAAAATTACTTGTTTTCTATTACTGTTATATTAAAATGTTTTTTAAAAGCTTACTAATGTGTTGAGTGTTTGTATAGTATCTAAAGACTGGGTTTGGATTACTTGTGATAGAACAGCCACAAGAGCATTGCAACATGTTAATCTTTAGAAAGGTTAAATCTGAAGTTCTTGATATTAACTTCTGAAACAATGTGTTCCAGTTTATTATTTTTTTTTTAATGGTAGCTAGGGTACCAGTTTTTGAAGAAGCTTATTGTGTTTCCTTGTAACTGTGTACCACAAACAGTCTGTGGCTCATACCTCAGCCAAATATCTCCACCAGCTCTGAACATGCAGCAGGTTGTTTTCCATTTCTCAGAAACCCAAGAATTAATAGGATGTGTTTCAAATAAGAGCAGTTCTTTATCTGAAAATAGTGGGCCATGCTTAATATTAGACTTAAAATATTTTTATGCATAGTTCATATGTATTATGAAATAGTGCAAAATTTAAAACGGATAGAGAATTACAATACAGTATGTCTTGAATTTATATATTATTTCAAGTGGAAAGTGTACATCTGCATGTTATGTGGTAAGCAGGTGCAAGCTTGCTCTGCCTTGTTTTTGAGCTGACCTGAAGCCATGTGAACCCACACCACAGTCCCAGTCTTAAGCTAGTAAACAGTTTCGAGAAACAGGTTGTGAGCTGCATTTCCATGCTTTTGGACAAGTTAACATGGAGAAGCTGCTCATAATCAACTTGAAAAATAAGCTTCATAGTTAGCAACACCTTTTCATTGGCTAGATTACACCAAAATTTGTTTCATGTTTTGGAATGTAGTCATATTAACCTCAAGTTTGGTCATTGGCATTAGAATATGTGTCTAAAGAGGTTGATAATGCAGTGTACACATTTAGTATTTGTGTACTGTTTTGGGTATTGCTGCACATACCCAGAAGTTCCTGATTTCATCACAGGAAGGGAATAACTGGGAAACCATAACGTGTTGTGATATTGCAAAAATTTTAGAGAGAAAAAAAAGTGTAATTAGATTATAACATTTGCTGCTATTTGTTAGGAGTAATGCAGGAGCTGGGGATGGAATTTAAGGGATGAAAGTCAGCTGGAAAGGATTTAAAATGAAACTGGAGAAAAGGAAGCTGTGAGGTTTGTACATGTAGCAGATATAATGACTTTAGACATTGATTGTTGACAAGGCAAATGAACATTGATCTTTTGGGATCAAATTTGTGTTAAAAGTTCCTGAAATAAGGGGAGCAAGTCTTTGGCTTCCCTGTGAATGAAAAAAACCACACAAAACCATACACCATTGTTAGATTTCTGTGCAAGTCCAAATGATAAAGAGAAGATGAAAACTTTTCTTGTGAGCAGTGTAATGTCTTGATGGGAGCCATCACATCTATAGTTTTCTTGAAGAAAAGTATTAAAAGCTGTGAAAATGAAAGTGGAAATTAACTTATGCGTTTATTATCGATATGTAAAATCTCATTCTTGTTTAAAAGTTGGCTGCTTCTGCAACTTCAGAGCTGGCAGGAATATCTTAATGCCTGAGTATGAACATCATCCATGTTTGTTTTTTTTTTCTTAAGTGTAGGTCTTAAAGCTATGAAAATGAAATTGAGGTTTTAAGTGGTATACGTGTGGTGTATGTGCTGACACTGATTGTCCTCTTTCATTATTTTTCAAATCAGTACACAGAAGAGGAAGCTAGGAAATTAGGAGTGGTTGGCTGGGTTAAAAATACCAGTCAAGGAACTGTAACGGGCCAAGTTCAGGGCCCAGAAGATAAAGTAAATGCAATGTAAGTATTTTTGCATTTTTATCTTAGTCTTACTAAAGTCATTTACAGAATCACTTTTAATCTAAAGTGACAAATTATTCATATATCAACAACGTAACAGTACTTTCAGTAAACAGTTTTAGTTTTGAGAAGTTGAGATGCATTTCTTTTAAGCTGTTAAAGAAGTCTCTAAGCTTTAAAAATAACATCTAGCATCAGCCAGTTTTAATTTCTAGTGTTACACAGTTTGTGTTTCCCTAGCATACTGTGTCCTTGTGAAATGAAGGAAAAGCCTTTCTTTATACATATGAGCAAAGATCTGGTTTTTAATTCTTCAAAACTTCCAGTAAGAAACAGACGGAAGAACTTCTCAAAATGCTTGCTCAGCTTATACTTACACCAATTTAAAGGGAACTGTGTTTAATATTTTTAATATTTTTTTCCTGACTTAAAAAATTGATACATAAATAGCACTTCATCAAAGGCCTGTAGTCTCTACCATCTGGAAATAAATTTTGAAATATTTTGGTGTCTTTAAAAGAATGGGTATGATTTTCTTTATGAAATTGCCAATTTCCAAAAGCTTAAAGCTATTACTCTGAGGAAATGATGCTTGGAAAAACACAAATACCAACTCAGATGCTTCCAACTATCATTTTTTGCAAGTGTATGTAGGAAGATTTTGGGGAGTTTTTAAAAATCCTTCAGCGGTTTGTTCTCTCAACAAAAAATGAGTGATGGTAAAACTTTCCTTTGTAAGCTTTATTATGGATGGGCAATTATTAGTGCAAATTCTGCCAGCACTTTCTGATGCAGGAATTGCTTCAAAGCTGAACTTAGATAAAGTGAAGTTGGCTTTTTGCAGAGAAAATAGTGTTATTGTAAAGATATTTGTATATTATTATCTAATGTGACAGAAGCATTTGCAGTAATTTTCTTTGGTCTTGAGCTTAACATTAGGTTTCTTATCTTGGGCTGCATAACATTTACAAAGCTAGGGAAACATCAGTTTTTTGTTTCCTGAAGTCAAGTTTATACTTATTTGCTGGAAGACCTTTGTTAATAGGCTGATTTAAATATTTTGTAAGTTTAGTATCTTGGCGCCATCTCTTTAGTTAATTTGGAACATTGAAAATGAACATGTGAGGAATCAGGATTTGGTTTCTATTTGTGGAGTGCTTCATATTTAAAATTCCTAGTCGATTTATTCTAATTAAGCAGATATCAATAGATAAGCTGTATTTTCACTTCTGTTTCTTGTATTTGCATGAACTAAGATTGCTGCAGAATGCAGTGTTTTCCCTCCTTTTCCCTTCCCTGTTATCTGTATCGATGGGATATAAAGGAAACTGTGCTGACCCCAACATCAGACAGTTTGTATGTAATAGAGAGTCTTGCAGCAGAGCTGCAAAGCTAGACTAAAAAGATTAGGGTTGTTCTCAAAAATGTAGCAGCATGCAGACTATTTCAAAAGAAAACAGAAGTTTTTATTTTTCATTGTTACGCAGTTTTAAGTAGGGTCAGCAAGCTGGATTGCGACTAAAAAAAGTTGAAGCTTTTGATGTACATTGTGTTTGATATTCAGAGCAAATAAAAAGCTGTGAGTTGCTGCTGCTTCATTTCATGCTGGAAATCAATGTTTTCCTCTGATGTGGGAATGATGTTGCAATGCTGAAGTTGAAGTATGATTTTGAAGTATGCATTGAGATACAGATTATTAAATTGGAGGTCCTAGAGTAGAATGCTGAAGGAGAAACAGTTCACTTTCCCTTGTTCCATGTCTGGACTCTGATACATTGAAAAGGCTGTGAATTTATTTTTGGCATTAAACTGGTGAACTTGCATATGAAAAGGGAGCTATTGTTTATGAACAGCTACTTTGAAATTCCCTTATTTCTCTCTGCAGGTGCATGTTAATAGAAGACCAAAATAGGTTTGAGTTTTTTAAGCTTTTTCCAGAGCTTAAACCATTTTTTGGAAATGCTTAGTGATGTTTCCTTGGCATTCATAATATTGTGTTCTAGATTCAAGAGTTGCTTAAAATGCTGCATTAAGTTTTCACACTTGTATAAGTTTTAAAATTAAACTTTAGGCACAAAATTGTCTGATTTTCAGAGGTGCAGCACTTGGACTTTTAATAATCATGTATTAATGATTGTTCAGTTGTTTTACTGGTTTTGGTTTATTAATGTTAGTATTTTTTAGGGGGAGGTGGAAGGGGTGTTTTTGTCTATCATAATGCTTATCTTTTCATGCTGCTAAATAGAATCAAGAACATAGATGAAAAAGAAAGTAGGGATGCCATAAGAAAGTACAGTTCTAGAACAAGTAAATAGAAAAAGCAAGATGAGAGGGAGGAAAAGAGGGATAAGGGTTTGAGAGGAGGATAAAGATAGTGAAAGTGTAAAAACTGTGGGAAAAACACCATGGGACAATTCAACCTTACCAGAAGCATGGAGCGAGTAACAAAGCGTGCCTTTGTTCTGGAGCAGTAACGCGGCAGACCTCTAAGCCAACGGTTTTTCAGCAGCAGTCCTTTGCTTCTGATTTTCTGACCCTTTTTATTCTATTTTGTATCATAACATGTGTTCTGAGGCACAGCCAGGAAGCATCCAGTACAGGCTCAAACAATGCCTTTTACTGCTTATTATTTTAATGCAGGCTGCAAGATGAAATATAATCTGGCTGGAATTATGAGGACAGTCCTGGTGATCTGTTTTAAGCATTATTGTAACGCATGTGTAGAGTTTAGATGGAGAATGGTCAGAAGTAGTATAAAATGGAGAAAATAAGATTTAAAGCAGGAGATCTGGAGGTATGTCTATCTACCCATACTTAAAGCTCTGTAGAGAAGTGAGAGCATGTTAAAGATCTATTCTGAAAATCAGTTTAGCCAGGTAACTCATGATCTTCAGAGAGTCTTGGGTAGTCAGATACAACTTTATTGCATTAGAACTGAGGGTTAGGTGCGGGAAGGCAGCCAGAGGCTATGTATCTATGTATCAGTAGCAACTGATGCAGCACAGAAAAGTGTTGGCTCACATAGGCAGTGAGCTGCGGGTTTGGTTCCTTCCCATCCTGCCAGGGAGAAATGGCCTCTTTTACCTGAGCCTGGTGTAGTTTCTTAAGTAGTGTGCTAAAGCTTCGATTTGGTCCTAAAACGTGGAAGTAATTGTTTTCGTGCAGATAAAATGTGATTGTGATTAATTAGTTCTAAAGATGGTGTGCAAAATAGTTTCTTCTGGAGCATGTAACAGCTTAGCAGGGACTTCTCACTCTTGGAGAAATCAGTGGAAAGTGATAGGTAAGTATGAATGATTGGGGCCTAAAGTGTTGCGTGTCCAAGAAGCTTCATTCATTATTGGACCATTCTCTTGGTGTTGAATGTGGGTATAAATTTTTGCTGAAGTGATGCTGAAAGGCTGACTTCTTTGGTCAACATCCCGTTGTGGTGATATCTTGATCACTGGAAACTGGCAAAATTTACTCAATTCCCTGAGGCTAGGATTTTGGTGTGAATTTCACTGAAATGCAGGAAGTTTAAGATATGAAGGAGCAGGTTTTAATATTTAGATACTTTCATTTCAAGATTTGTCTTCAGTTTTTTTTTTTTAAAGAAAAACTTTGAGATTCTCAAAGATCAGTTGACTTTTATATAAAAAGGTATTTTGAAGCCATTTTTAAAATTTTAATGGGAGATCTCGCAGAGCATTTTAGAGAATGTTTTTAAGAAGTCTCCAGTATCTTTTAACTGTAAGCTTGCTTTAATATCCTTGCCTTTTTAACCTCTAGATGGAGCTGTTTGTTCTGTAGAGAGTTACAACTATACATGCTTCATTTGAAGTGAATCTATTTTTAGGCTGTTATGGTAGAATCCATCTTTTTCTTCACCACCTTTTTCCTCACTGTATCTTATAGTCCTGTCTGTGTGTTGCAGCTGCTTCTCATAGATAGCACCCATTATCCTTAGGTTCTAAAAGCTTGTTTTCAGTTTTTTACCTGTCTGTATGCCAAAAAATACTGAAGTCACAAGAAAAGCAGAGCTGCAACATTTCTCAAGCATAGTGACATAAGGTTTTATGGTAAACTGTAGGCTTTTATTGCCAGCCCAGATATTCCTAAATGGGGTAGAGGAGGTAGTCCTCTGGTTTCTTTTTTTCAAGAAGACTTACAGTACAGGGTTTTTCATTATAGTATCTTGTGATATTTTTTCCATTTTATTCATCAAATAAGGTTAGAGCCTTTGTAGTCATTGTGGTTGTTGCCATAACAACTTGCATTGAGAGGCTAGAAATCACTTTCCTGTGAGAATTTTTTGAACTTTGAAACTTTGAACATTACTTAGGTATCCATTACAAGAGTCTTACCTTCCTTTTTTTAATGTATATTGCCAAGTTCAGAATTTATTTCAGAAATCAAAGATTTCAAATCAGGCTGACACTTTAAAATGTAAAATCTTAGGACATTTTTAGACACAAGTATATAACAGCATAGCAAGTATTTTTCCTGTCTTTGTAGAAAGACATGATATTAAATATAGCTTGCTTGTCATAGTAATAGTTTTAAATTGATAAATTAATGCTGATTTAATTTGAATGGGTTATTTTTTAATATCAGTATCAGTTCAGGAGAATTAATATTAAATATGTGTGGCACAAGACTTAAATGGTTTCAGTGTGTATCTGCTTTAAAATAATCCAGATTCTTACCACGTAAAAGGGGAGAAGGGAACTCTGCTAATATCACAACTGTCATTCTGTCTCTGTTTCATTAGTCAGTTGTATCAGATTCTTGTCCGTACCAACTGGTGTTAAATACTTTTTTTTCCTCAGTATAATTTTTTAATTGTTTGCAGAAAATAACCCTGATGACATGAAATGGAACTAAATGCTAGTAAAAAAACACCTCCATATTTAGACTGAGTGGGTTCCTTGTGCAGAATTCTAGATCTTATATCTCACATAAATTGGGTTTTAAACTGAACAGATAAGGAAGTAGTTTAGGATTTTAGATACATTTGGGACATCTGTGGTATACCCAAAAGCCTGCTATTGAAAAGAAGACAAAGGCAGTTGAGTGAAAAGTTCAAAG